ATAAATGGCAAATGCAGTGCCCCAGCCACAGCCACAGTCACAGCAGCAGAAACAGCAACAGCCCCACCCTGTTGCTCCGGTTGCTTGCTGCCGTTCCAGCCGAGCGCCTTTAAGGCTCATGTGGAAAAGATTCACATGTTGGCCCCAGTTGATTGACACACAACGACTGTTGTCGCTGACAAAATGCCGCCTCAGCCGCTGCCGCACCTCCGGCACAACAACGATTCATATTTGCAATGAGGCATTCTCCGACGGAGTGACTCCCTGACTGACGGACTGTCTGTCTGACTGTCTGTCTGACTGACTCTCAACAATTGGCGTAAAGTAGTTGATAGTTGAGGCTTATTACTGTCGTTAACATCACTCCATAGCCGCGTTCTTGGGGTTCCATTTCGCTAACCCGCCTAATTAATTTCAATTAAAATGCCTAGAGTGTCAGTCAGTGAGTCAGTCAGAGAAGGAGCCAGGCAGCCTCGCCTGAAATTCGCATGGACCTTTTAATTGATTTACGGCTGTCAAGTAATTTAACTGGGAGTCAAATGAAGCTTGCCCAATGAAAACATTTTGATAATTATCATACGGGCCAATGAATAATTGCCACAAATATTCCAAAGTACATACTGGTAAGATACTTTATATGCAGCCATATCTTGGGAATGATTTATCAGGGATTGCAGTTTATAGTAGCAAAGGAAAGTCTCACGATCATAGAGGAAACGCTTTTCCCCCCTCTCACACGTCGAGCATTTAAAGCCCCAGGAATGGAAAACTCTGCTTGGGCTAGCTTTAACAAACTGCCAACTTTGCATATGGCCAACATTTATAAAAATCAATATTTCGCACAGCCAGCCAGCCAGCCGGCCGGGATGCGTACATGGAGATGGAGTTGGAAATTGGTGCTGCATCCCCATCTCCGGCCAGACAGCGTCATCATATAACTCAGCAGCATAAAAAATGTCAACTGTCTGCGACACACAAAACTTATTTGTCATGCAATTTTGCAGAACGCCTTGCATCAAGGGGCAGGGAGCCAGGCAGCCAGTCAGCCAGGCCAACGGCAGGCACACATGGCCCGGGCAATAGGCAATAGGCGAAAGGCAATCTATACATGTCCAACGTGATGGGAAGAACCAGTTGGGCAGGCCGACGCGAGTCCCTGTCGTAGCAGCCAGAGAGACATAATAACTTATGGCGATTGGGTGGCGCAAAATTGCCTGCTGTGGAATCAATAACGTCTATTGATGCAGGAGCAGGTGACAGCTCGCCTTAGAGCGCCACTGGCAGCCAGTGGTAAAGCCTGTCCCAATGCCAATGCCACTGCCACTGCCAGGGGCTCAGCGAACAGTTAGAGTCGGATTAGCTAGATGGGAAACCAGTTCTTGAGCAGGCCAATCCAGTCCAGTCCAGTCTCCAATCTCCAGCCTGGTCCTCTCCAGGCCATGCTGTTGACAACGGTCAACTAATTGGTCATCCCACTAAAACCACTAAGATATGGGCTCGATTGAGCGTCACGACTAGAACTCGTATATTGTGCCCCTAAATGGCTTCATCGAGGGCAGATTTAGTCGGGGCTTAGCTCAAAGTTCGCAGCAGGAGCAGGAGCAGCTGCCCATAGCGCTGGGTCCCTGTCCAGTCCAGGGCCAGCAACCAGCAACAGGTCTTAACGTGGCCCATTAACACTTTAACGTGCCATAATTACCTGAGCGGACAGCGCGGCGAATAAAATCATGTACACGCGTAAAAATGTCAGCCAATGCCTTTTTAAAAGTCAGCGAGCAAGTTAATTGTGTGGCCCAAGGTAGCCACAACGAGACATCGCCAGCGGGGACTCGTCCCGGAGAAGAGAGCTGAGTGCCGAGTGTCGACTGCCAATAGCTGGCGGCTGGAAGCCGCCGTGGGCATCATCATCATGATGGCCAGGTCCTCTGACAAAGTTGTAAGTTGATGTTGTTTCGCCTGTGGTGAGAGACAACTTGGGATAATTACAATTCCACACCTTAATGTGCCACAGAAACAGAGATAGAGAGCAAGCGACAGGCAAGGGCAAAGGGGCCAACATCAACGACAGCGACAACAACGCGGCAGGATCGTCGCGTCCCAATGCGAAGTCGTTAAGTGAATTCATATAAAAATTCCTTAAATGTCGCATTATGACAAAACGATCGTTTAGAGCTCGGGCAAGAGGCAGCTTCAGCTTTAGCTCCAGCTTCTGCCTCTGCCTCAGAGCCTCATGATGTTTATGAGGAACTCTCAAAAAAGCTGCAGAAATGTTAACTGGAGCTGGAGCCTGGCCTGGCCTGGCCTGGAATGGCCGTAGCTTGGGTCGTTTTGGCGACGGCGGCTGGAACAGAAGTCTGCGTGATAAAAATGCTTAGCACACGGCACATTTTGTTAACATGGCCAACATGACTGCGGCAACAGCAAACTTTTTGTTGTGGCAACATTACTACCAATTCCGGCCCCGCTCCCCCTGTTTATTTGGATGGGTGCAAACATTTTTTTGTGTGTTTCAAAAATATTCCGCATTATTTTCCGAGTCCTCCCTTTGCTTTGCCTTTTCTCCCTTTTCGATTTCGAGTCGCAGGTTTTTCGCCGGAGTCGCCGCCGAATCACGAACATTTTGTGTCGTCGCCTCTGTAAATTTTTTTTTTTTATTTTTTTTATTTTTTTTTTGACAAAGTTTTATGCAATTTTTGCTTTTATTTTTGGCATTTCTGTGGCTTTTGGTCATGAATCATGATTTATTTGGTTTCTTTTTTTTTGTACTCCGTTTTGCTGCGGCGCGGCTGGTGCTGCTGCGCAGGATATTTTCGCTTTTAGCAGTTGTTTTCTGCTCTTTTTTTTTGCAATTGTCTCTTGGCCTGCTGCTCGCTCTTCTGCTGGTCTGGTCTGGTCTGCTATGCTCTGTCGGCTGCCCTGCCGCCGCATGCCTGCTACGAGTATAAGCCAAGTTTGGTATTTAGCCGGGCGGCGACAAAAATGGCTTAGTTTGTTGCACACGTTTCGTTTAGTTTCTGTTTCTGTTGCTGTTTGTGTTTGTGGGAACGGGATCTGGGCACTCCAGCGCCATCATCATGCTCCTGCCCGTACCTCCAGCCCGTCCTCCTCTTCGCCTCCGTCTGCACTCTGCTGCTACTACTTTTGTTGCCTGTCTGGCCCAGCGACGGCTGCGCTGGGCTGCTGGGGGTGCTGGGCTGCTGGGCTGCCGGCATAAATATGTATAAACCCAGTAGTTTGTTTGCCGAGTCGTGATTCGCAGTTGAGTCTTAAAGTCTAAGGAAACGCACGAGGCAAAAATTTAAATATTTCCTGCGCTGTGGAGTGGACTCAAGTGAATTCGAGTGTGGTATGTATGATGCCTCTCCTCTCGCAATGGATTGCGGCATGTTGAGGGAGCCATCAGTAGCAGAGCTGCTGCCTCACTTTCCACTGGACTCGCTGTGCGCTGATATACATACTATTTATACCAATTTCATGTACCTTTAAATAGTGGGCCATATCTTTCCTTAGAGCGTAAATGCATTGCATTATCAGTGAACGCCTCCACAATAAATAAATTTCACAATAAATGTATGAATATTACTATATCGTCCGACACCCGTTTCATTCCCTACTATTATAATCGAACAGATGTTCCTGATGCTTCGAGATGAATTTGAATTTGAGCTTGAACAACTTGAACAGCAATAAAAACTGCAACGTAGAAAAAGAATATCAAGTTGAAAATTAAATCGAAGCAGGAAATGTTTTTCTCTCATGTCAACCAGAGGCAAACACACATGAAGAAACAGAAACCGAGAAAATTCTCTAGCCATTACCCAGAAACATTTGTAAAAATGTTGGCTCTTTCAATATTTTCATTGCATTTCAGTTATAAAAGTATTTTGTGTTGTTTCTTCGCTTTGTTTTCTGCATTTTGAGCTTGTTATGATTTCAACTTGTTGCACGTGAAATGCATAACGTACACTCGCGGATTCCCAGTTGTCTGCGCTCTGCACTGCTCCGCTCTGGGACCGTAGACCATGCACCGTAGACCGTAACCAAGGCACGTACTTCGGCCGAGACACGGAAGTTTGGCCAAGACGAAGCGAACAAAACAAAACCGAACCGAACCCAAAAACAAAATAACAATGAAAATCGAAGCGGAATACTCTTTTAATGCAATTCTTAAAGTGTAAGTGGCTCAATTGCTGGGTTTAATTGGAAAGCGCTCTCTTCGCACGCTGCGCACGTAGCCAGCTTAAAAATTGCCAAACATATGCGATAGGGATCCTGTCCCAACAGCAATGAGAGATAAATTCAATTGCAAAATGCCCCGTGGAGCTATGTCCCGTTCACCAGGAAAACAGGAAAAAAAAAACACAGATAGTAATTTGTTTAATTTCCGTTTGCCAGCTGCAAACATCCATAATTTGATTGATTTCCCATCTCTTTTTTCTTGACTCTTCCCGTCACCTAATTAAAACTCGCGTTGCTGCTCTGCCAATGGGGTGGGTTGGGGGTGTGGTAAATTAAAAGCCTCCCGGCAACGTCACAATATCCGGTGCGAGAGGATAAAGCTCAGATATTTTACATTTTGAGAAGTGGGAAGAGGATATTGACAAAAAAAGAGCGTAGTCAATGCGAAAACTGTATCGAGGGAATATCGAGGGGAAAATCAGCTTGAAGCTCTTAAACAGAGAACAGAAAACAGAGCTGAAAGGACAGAAAATTGGCTTTGATTGAATTGAAAATCAAACTCAATAATTTCATCGATGAAAAAGTTTCCTTATTGCAAGAAAAAACTTTAATATACAATTATAAACTTTTGCAACCCCACGTGTAAGAAAATATAGCAAACAAAAGAAATTGTTACTATGTAAAGGTTTTAAACCAGAGCTTAAGTTAAGGTTATAGGAAATCTGACCTTGGCAGACTTTAGGCATGCTGACATTTAACATTTAATATAAATATAAAGCAAATAGTACTAATGCAGAGCATGAAATTCGTATTGGTTCCAGGCACAAATTCACTGTATAAATAGTCCGCTCAAAATGGAAACTTTACATTCGTATTCAGCGACTACTCCGAAAATAATGAATTTCTATCTTGGATTTCTCTTGGCCGTTGTGCTGCCTCTGCTTGTGTCAGCAGCGAAAGCACCGAAGAGGGATGACCCTACGACAGCCGCAGCCTAAGCGGATGAGCTGTGCCACTTCCGTCTGCACGAAGCCTTTGTCGACTTGCCTGATTCCTGCAGAAATGTAGATCAATAAAGCACGATCTTTCAATTTACTTCTCAGTTTTACTTTTTTATACCCGTACTCCAAAAAGAGTTAAGGGGTATATTGTATTTGTGGTAAAAGTGGATGTGTGCAACGCAGAGATGGAAACGTTTCCGACCCCATAAAGTATATACATATATTCTTGATCAGCATCAATAACCGAGTCGATATAGCCATGTCCGTCAGTCCGTCTAACCGTCCGTCTGTCCGTCTCGATGAGCGCCAGGATCTCATAGACTATACGAGCTAGAAAAACCAAATTTTGTATCAAGACTGCTGTGATATCACACTGCTACAAGTGTATTTCATAATTTCGCCCCACCCCCTTCCGTCCCCGCAAAGGACGAAAATCTTTGGCAGGCACAATTTTAAAGATACGATGAAACTAAAAACGTAGTATCGTAGAGAATGATCGGATCATAATTATAGCCAGAATGAAGAAATTAATTTTCTGTTGGTTCCCCCGTCTCCTCCAGCAAGGGACTCGCTACTCATTCTCTTTCTCGCTCGCACACTCTGCCTCGTTATGTACGCGAGCGCCCTCTAGCGGAGGAGATGTAGAATCTAAATGGTACATGTACAATCTTCATGTAAGATATAGAATATACATAGTATATGTAGATATAAGATGTAGCAACAAAATGTAAAATGTTTTTTTAATTCTAAAAAATCATAAGCTCAAAAATGTATTTACTGACTGAGTACGGGTATAATTAGAGTCGCGTCCCCAGAAGCGACTCAAACGTTCCTTCTCGTTTCAATTGGATTATTTGTTGACCAGGAGAGAGAACATATATCTTTGAGAAATGTTCACAAATAAATAAAAAAGGACCTTAAATTTAATCCTAATTTCGTATTAATTGTTCTGCGATAATATATTGAAACAGATTTATGATAGCAAACAGACATGTCTAGTCGTGGGAATTCATATACTTTTTCCTTTTCTGTGGCACCAAAATCGAGGACACCTCAAAACCGATGTATTGCATTGGGAAATGTGAAAATATTACATTTACTATTATGAAAATTTATAAATAGAAATGATCGCTGAATAGTGGCGAATGTTGCACAGTTTGAGTCGCTTTAAATGTCAAATGCAAGGTAAAGATGACTCACGGCGTTTGCCCCCTGGCAACTGCAGTCTTTGCATACACAAATAGAATGTGTTTTTGCGGAAGGTATTAAAGCATTTAAAAAAAATTATCTCAACATTTTAACCTTATCAAATTATATCAATGGGCGAAATAATTATTAAAAAATTCCCTGTGTAAATACGGTAAGAAGCGATTAAATCTTATTTTACTTGCACGGACTGCCAATTGGTGAGAGAGTTGCGCAACTTTTGACCTTGGCATCATTTACAACGGTTGGAAAGGCCATAAAATTCGTATTGGTTCCAGGCACAAATGCACTGTATAAATAGCTGCTCTAAATGGAAACTTTACATTCGTATTCAGCGACTAATCCGAAAATAATGAATTTCTATCTTGGATTTGTCTTGGCCGTTGTGCTGCCTCTGCTTGTGTCAGCAGCCAAATCACCGAAGAGGGATGACCCTACGACAGCCGCAGGCTAAGCGGATGAGCTGTGCCACTTCCGTCTGCACGAAGCCTTTGTCGACTTGCCTGATTCCTGCAGAAATGTAGATCAATAAAGCACGATCTTTTAATTTACTTCTCAGTTTTACTTTTTTATACCCGTACTCCAAAAAGAGTTAAGGGGTATATTGTATTTGTGGTAATAGTGGATGTGTGCAACGCAGAGATGGAAACGTTTCCGACCCCATAAAGTACATATATACATATATTCATGATCAGCATCAATAACCGAGTCGATATAGCCATGTCCGTCTGTCCGTCTATCCGTCCGTCTGTCCGTCTCGATGAGCGCCTAGATCTCAGAGACTATACGAGCTAGAAAAACCAAATTTTGTATCAAGACTGCTGTGATATCACACTGCTACAAGTGTATTTCATAATTTCGCCCCACACCCTTCCGTCCCCGCAAAGGACGAAAATCTTTGGCAGGCACAATTTTAAAGATACGATGAAACTAAAAACGTAGTATCGTAGAGAATGATCGGATCATAATTATAGCCAGAATGAAGAAATTAATTTTCTGTTGGTTCCCCCGTCTCCTCCAGCAAGGGACTCGCTACTCATTCTCTTTCTCGCTCGCACACTCTGCCTCGTTATGTACGCGAGCGCCCTCTAGCGGAGGAGATGTAGAATCTAAATGGTACATGTACAATCTTCATGTAAGATATAGAATATACATAGTATATGTAGATATAAGATGTAGCAACAAAATGTAAAATGTTTTTTTTAATTCTAAAAAAATCATAAGCTCAAAAATGTATTTACTGACTGAGTACGGGTATAAGTAGAGTCGCGTCCCCAGAAGCGACTCAAACGTTCCTTCTCGTTTCAATTGGATTATTTGTTGACCAGGAGAGAGAACATATATCTTTGAGAAATGTTCACAAATAAATAAAAACCAAAATCGAGGAAACCTCAAAACCGATGTATTGCATTGGGAAATGTGCAAATATTACATTTACTATTATGAAAATTTATAAATAGAAATGATCGCTGAATAGTGGCGAATGTTGCACAGTTTGAGTCGCTTTAAATGTCAAATGCAAGGTAAAGATGACTCACGGCGTTTGCCCCCTGGCAACTGCAGTCTTTGCATACACAAATAGAATGTGTTTTTGCGGAAGGTATTAAAGCATTTAAAAACAATTATCTCAACATTTTAACCTTATCAAATTATATCAATGGGCGAAATAATTATTAAAAAATTCCCTTTGTAAATACCGTAAGAAGCGATTAAATCTTATTTTACTTGCACGGACTTCCAATTGGTGAGAGACTTGCGCAACATTTGACCTTGGCATCATTTACAACGGTTGGAAAGGCCATATAATTCCTATTGGTTCTAGGCACAAATGAACTGTATAAATAGTCCGCTCTAAATGGAAACTTTACATTCGTATTCAGCGACTACTCCGAAAATAATGAATTTCTATCTTGGATTTGTCTTGGCCGTTGTGCTGCCTCTGCTTGTGTCAGCAGCCAAATCACCGAAGAGGGATGACCCTACGACAGCCGCAGGCTAAGCGGATGAGCTGTGCCACTTCCGTCTGCACGAAGCCTTTGTCGACTTGCCTGATTCCTGCAGAAATGTAGATCAATAAATCAGTCCTCGCATATTATCTGTGTTTTTGCTTTATTTTTCGATTGCCTCAAAAGATTCTTCGTTCTATAATCAACAGTTTGCCAGGCAATACTAGCAATAAACTCACGGATCGAAGGACAGACCGGTGTCAACGTGGTTTCTGATCGCGATACAGATATTTTTTAGACATTTGGGGTAAATTCCTGGGAATTCTGTTGTCTCTTGTGGGCCTCAATTCCCGTTTCTTTTGGGCTCCCGTAGTACCAGTCCGATGGGAAAGGGGAACTGGATCAAGTGGCCAGCGGTAGGGTCGAGACACATAGAAATTTATAACACACATGCTGTAAACATGTTCATCAGTTTTTGCAGCTCTGTAAAGCTGGATGCAAAGCTCGCCACACAAAGGCCGTGGCACCAACAACGTGCGCTGCGGTGCGCTCACGTGTTTGGGGGGCACACTAAACAAAGCAGCACAAGCGCAATGCAGTGTATTGTATGCAGCAACAATTGGCAGCAGTGGCAACAACCTTCTGCGACTCGACTGTTTGCTATCCAGCATCGAGCTGCACACGGATGCTTTTGGAATTCCCCATCGTTGTCTCTTGGATCGCATACAAGTCAGTCCGCACTTGCTACCCCGCAATGGAGACTTGTGAGCGACTAAGAGCGCTGGGCCCCGGTAGCTGCAAATAATAAAAGGATGATAGTCAAAGTTTAATGACAGTTCAAATGATGTTGCCGCCGCTGTCCCAGCTGCTCCCCCTGATGCAGCATCGCTGTTGCTTTTGCTGCAGTCCTGCACTTTCCGATGTGGCAGCAAACAATTGCACGTTGTTACACTTTCAGTGCACAGCACCTCTGGTGGTGAGGCTACAATGTGATTGTCTTTGCTGATGCCTAGGAGGGAATTTCTTTACCTGGGGCATATACTCGTATGAAGTATTCATTCATGGCAGAATAGTCCCTAGAAAAATCGATAAATTCCGCTAAAATATTTGTGGAAAAACTCTTCCTTGTTGACATGTGAACTTTGATCTTATTTTCAGGTTTTTTCCTTTGGGGATCGATCTGCACCAGAGGCTTGGAAGAGTATCAACGTGTCAGGTAATTGCAAATAAAAATTCTTTCTCGTTTTTTTTTTATTATGCATTATTTCTGTGCATCTCTTTGTGGCGCTGTGTGCGCTCTGCTGCCGATGATATTACTATGATGGTTGCAGGCAACACGATGTTGCAACATGCGCTCGAACATAATAAATTTTTATGCATGATTTCTCACATTGCATGTGATGGCTGGCACTTGATGTGCCACATGGGGCGTATGCCCGTCGCCTGTTGCCCGTCGCCCGCTGACTGAAATGTGCATTTAAATATTAAAGCAATTTGTGCATGCCACACAGATCCATAAATAAGGTACAGTTTTGGAGGCAAATTCAAACAGCATTTCGTTAATTTGTATCTCCGATGGTAGCAGTTGATTTTCTTGCAGACTCGTGAAAAATCGGGGAAAACCATTCAAATGCGAAGATCAAAAGCCCAGACAAAAACATCAAATGAAACAGGCAGATGCACTGCCTTACAGTGGATGGGAATCAGTAAAATTGTATTAAATTCGCAGCCCGCTCTTCTGTATAAAGGATCCATTTTAATATATACTTAAACCAGCTGGCTTGGCCCTGTTTTGAGGTCTTACAACCAGAACGTATAGAATCTTCGGTATATTGTCATACTGAACCACTGTACAAGTTTCTAGCATGAACTTAGGCGTCAGGCAGCTCGTTATGATGCCAAATGTTGAAGCCACTGCCGCCTGACAATCGGTAGGGTAGAG